AGCCTGTGTAGTCTCTCCACGGACGATCCTAAAATAGGCACAAAAATGGCCCCCTGTTTACAAACGATAATCAATTATTGTAGAGACAGTGTTTAAAATCTGCAATTTAGTTGCTGGCTGACTGAACTAAAATGAGCAGCTGCGACACGTGTCAAGGTAAGTATCTGAGAGAGAAAGACCTATTTTAGTAGAGAAAAAATAACCACGGTGGCTTTTCCAAAAGAGCGACTTATACCTCATTTCTTCTTATTTAATTTTATTTTCGCCTAAGGATTGCTCAGGAGATTCTGGTCTTCATTTTAGGAGGCCACCAGAAGCACAGCAGTCAGGGAAGTCTTCCTAGCAGATTTCCCAGGGATATTCTCCGCTTCCCTTCAGATGCATTATGTATCCATGTCACGCACTGGCTCTTCCCTCCTTCTTTATGAATAGACGAGGTGGAAACGTCTGAGGGGTTAATCAGTTCCTGCTGCTTATTTCTCCACATGAAAGCGTAACTTCCATTTATAACATCATTGTTGATTACCGTGAGATAATTACAGGCTTGATCTTATAGCCTTGTCTCCTAGGTGTACTGAATTGTGGTGAAAATGTAGCCATGAGTACTCAGAACCCACAGAGCAGACACAGCTCGCCATGATCCCGAGTTTCTTCGTAGTCACTGAGGGAATGAGTTGTTTGCTGGCTGCCGCAGGCGTAAAAGTATTTCCCTCATCTTTCCATGGTTTGCTTCTCCAGATTATCCTCAAAGGTTTTGAGCAGCAGGTTCCTACAATGGGTTGTGTAGTCGAGGCTGAAACAATTTCTTGCGCAGTATTTCTGGTTTCCGTGGTACTGCAGGGTATCTTGGACAAGGTAATGGGTTCAGCCCTGCTGGAAGCAGACCCACTTCAGGGCATCTAAGGGAGTGTTCTTTGGGAGGTGTGGCCAAGGAGGAAAACTATCTCCCACAGCATCCTCCTTGGAGCCACTGTCACATTATAGAACTCTGGTCTGTTTGATCAGAGAGCAAACCTAATCTAATAGACTTTATGGGCTTTTACTGGGACAATAAACAAGTAAATACTTTGGAGTGAAGATGAAAGAAAAAGGAAGGAAGGAAGGAAGGGAGGGAGGGAGGGAGGGAGGGAGGAAGGAAGGAAGGGGGAAAGGAAAGAAGGAAAAAAGGAAGGAAGGAAGGAAGAAAAAAGAAAGAAAGAAAGAAAGAAAGAAAGAAAGAAAGAAAAAGAAAAAAAAAGAAAAAGAATAAAAGAGTCCTAGGACAAAACCTCATAACAGACTGATTTAATCAGATGTTTAAATACATGGAAAAAATCATCCTTCTCTTCAAGGAAATAAGCAAGGATTCTGAGTTTCAAGGATTTTGAGCCAATTCTAGGCTATGTTGACCCAATCATACACCACTTATGCTTTACTGTTGAGTTCAGATCCGTTCAAAAGACATTTATTAAGTCCCATGTTTGCTCACACAGCCAACTATTAGCATTTTCCCCCTACAATTTTCCCTCGGAAAAGAGTGTTACTAAAAACTAGAATCTTTACAAAGACTCTAATGTAGCAGCTTATCTCAGTTAACTTTATTTTGAACAACAAATCACCTCAACTATTACTGGATTTGAACAAGAGGACACCTGATGGAATTGGAGAGAAGGAGAGACATTTAACACAGACTTAGTAAATTCCTAATGTCCTATCATTACATTTTTTGGTGTTGGATGTGTTAGGTGTTATTTTAAATAGGCCTTCTAAAGTGAACTTAAAAAATAGATACAGTGAGGGACTTCCTGGTGGTCCAGTGGGTTAAGGCTCCACGCTCCCAATGCAGGGGGCCCAGGTTCGATCCCTAGTCGGGGAACTAGATCCTGCAGGCATGCCGCAACTAAAAACATCACCGTGAGATAATCCTGGAGATTACAAACAAATAGCCACAGAATGTTTTTTGTTTTTTTTTAAACAACTGTCCTGGTGTTATGTGAGTAGGTAATTCTGGCGTTAGGACGACAAGAGTGGCTGCAGCACTAGACGTGAGGGAGGAAGCAATGATCATTAAGGGATCGAGTGGTACCATTTATTGAAATGGGTCAGAGTGAGGGAGGTTGGCAGATCAAGGGCTGTGTGGATGGCTGAAGTCCAGGTAGCCTTCGATACATACCAGTGGAGGGGGTCAAGGCTGGCAATAAGTATAAGAGGACCACCTAGGTCGGAGTCAGAGGGACCCTAATGTCCAAAGGCCATACAGAGGAGGAAAATTACCAGTGGGGCCTGAGAGTGGAGTAGCTGGTGATTCAGGATGAGGCCCAGGACCACGTGATGTTATCGGAGCTGATCAGAGTGAGTTTCAGGTAGGAAGGAGTGATTAACTGCGTTGAGTGCTACTAAGAGGTCAAGTAAGGTAAAGTCAAGTATAGAAATATTTATGAAAATTGACCAGGTGTCAGGGAGTAATAGAGCCATGCCTCTGTTAAGACTGATCAAGAGTTAACAGCAACTGAAAGAGAGACAGCATGTGTTCATGACTCTACTGAGAAGTGGGTTAAAGGGGAGAAGAGAAATGGGGTGGAAACTAGAAAAGAATCTTTTTTTGTTAAAGATGTGGGACACCAGAACATGTTTCAACAGGGAAGGAGGGAAGAAAAGATAGATAGAAACACAGAGAATGAATGAATGAATGAGATTGTTGGCTATTATGACAGAGAGGGAATAACTTAACCCACCAGTCCCCATACTTTTTGGCACCAGGGACTGGTTTCGTGAAAGACAACTTTTCCATGGACCAGGGTGGGGAAAGGGGCAGATGGTTTCCAGATGATTCAAGTGCATTACATTTATTGTGCACTCTATTTCTGTTATTATTACATTGTAATATATAAGGAAATAATTATACGACTCACCATAATGCAGAATCAGTGGGAGCCCTGGGCTTGTTTTCCTGCAACTAGATGGTCCCGCCCTGCTGTGCAGCCTGGTTCCCTACCGGGGGTTAGGGACTCCTAGCCTAAGCCCTTTTGGTCTCAGGACCACGCCTCAGGATTCATTTACACTCCTGAAAAGTACTGAGGGTCCCCCAAAGCTTCTGCTTTGTTGTGAGTTACATCTATCACTATTTACCATACTAGATAGTGAAACTGATAAAAAAATTTAAATACTTGTTCACTAATTCATTTAAAATAACAATAAACCCATCACATATTAACATTCTAATGAACAATTATGTTTTCCAAAACAAAAAGAATTAGTGAAAAGAAAGGCAGTTTATATTTTTACAAATCTCTTTAAAATCTGTCTTAACAGAAGACGGCTGGATTCTCCTATCTTCTTTCGCATTCAATCTGTTGCAATGTCACACATCATGTAGCTTCTGGAAAACCCTACTGTACACTTACGAGAAAATAAGACTGAAAATGCAAGTAACATCTTACTATGAAGATAGTTTTAACAATTGTGGACTCTCTGAAAGGGTCTCAGGACACCCAGGGGTTCCCAGACCACACTTGGAGAACTGCTGACCTAAGCAGTGAAGGCCAAGAGATGGCAAATGGTGATGGGGTTTAGGACGCAAGGGGCGGAAGTAGCCTCTGTGAAAAGCAGCCCTTCACCTTTTGGAACAAGAACAGAAGAGATGGGCGCCAAAGCAGTTGAGAGGCAACCATGTGTTCCCTTCCTCTTCTATTTTTCTGGCCACACTGTGAGGCATGTGGGATCTTAGTTTGCTGACCAGGGATTGAACCCGTGCCCCCTGAGGTGACCGTGCCCCCTGGTCACCACTGGACCACCAGGGAAGTCCCATCTGTTCCCTTCTTACGGACTGGTTTTCTCAGTGGGAACTGAGGTGAGGTCATTCACTCAGTGCAGGAGGTCTAAGGAGAGAGAGGACATGAATTTACTCTCTTTGTGAGTAGGAAAACTCACTTACCAGTGACGGACAGTCAGACTGCCAAGAGGGACCATAAAACATCCTTCTCCGGGGCACTCAGCAGGCCACCCTGTAACTTACCTGCTGACAGAAACGAGTGGTGGGGATTCCTCGGCAAGGCTGAGCCTCTGGGCCACTGCTTCTCTCCCACCGTGAGTGGTATGACGGTGATGAAGAGCAGGACGTGGGACCTAGCCTGCCTGGGTTCTAATCCTGGTCTGCCGTTGACTAGCTGTGTCCTTGGACCCTCTCTGTGCCTCGGTTTCCTATCTGTAAAACGGGAATAACTATAGTACCTACTTCATAGGGCTGTTACGAAGATAAAAGATTAAATGACATGTAAAGTACTTAGCTGGGTGCCTGATAAGGGACGTGCTCCTGAAGGGCCAGCGACAACTACTGTCATTGCCACTATTATTATCGAAATGACTTACTGAGCTTCCACTCAGCCTGCGAGTGTGGGTAAGAATTGGCTTACCTGATGACTATCTACTTAACTATCTACGTGTGGCCCCGAGCAGGCTGCGGATACAGGGGTTGGCAGAGCAACCTTGTCCTGCCTTCACCAGGTCTCCTGGAGGCCAGCAGGACACAATCAGACACACCAATTAATGCAACGATCACAATCGCCCTAAGTGCTAACATGTAGAAAGGGCGTAGCACGCGGTTGCGGCTTTAGATACATTCCTCCCTTCATCCTGATACCAGGTCCTGAGTGGGTAAGCTCGGTTTTTACAAGTGAGGAGTCTGCTTCGTAGCAAGGGACTGGCTCCCGTGTGGCCACGCGGCTCGAATTGGTTCTGTGAGACCCGTCCGACAGCTCGCGCGAAGGCCACGTTAACAGAAACACGCTTCTACAACGCGGGCCACCAGAACTCCGACCGAGCTCCCGCGCCCGGGGGAAAGGATTTCCGGCGGAAGTTTCTTCTGAGGGGGCGGAGCCACCGGCAGGCTTGGGCACACCCCTCCGCCCCCCCAATTCCGTAGTCGACTTGGCCAATAGAAGCTCCGCTTCTTGCCAGGTGTGGAAACTTGTTCTCCAATCAGCGAGCGCCATCGTCGCTCGGGCAACAGCGTCCTAGAGACGCCGAGTGGGCTGGGCTTCTGCGGCCTCGGGCCCTGGGGTCCGCGCTTAGAAGTACGTCGGCGCTCCGAAGGGGCCCAGCGAGGCGGAGGGTTGAGAAGGGGCCGGGGTAAGACGGCGCGGCGGCGAGTGCGTGCGAGCCCGGGGGGCTGAGGAGGGCCCGGGCGGGCAGCTCAGGCAGTCCCACAGCCCCGGGACGCGGAGCGTCCCCTCCCCGTCCGTGGCATAGGGCTGGTGACCCGTTTACTAGTTCCACACATGTGTGTGGCGCGCCTGCCTGTGGCAGGAGCCGTTGTCGGCCCTGGGGCTACTGCAGTGAATAGTACCGTCTTATTTGTGTGGGGGAAACCGACTATAAGCAACGAGGAAGATGGCGAATCTGCCTCCTTGCATCTCTGAGGGTTACATCGCTCCAATTTACAAAATGCTTCATGTCCCTTATTTCATCTGTCCCCACAGCAGTCTTTCGAATATTTTAAACTCTGCCTTATAGATGAGGGCTTGAATTCCACGGGGTGAAGGGGGTTGTCCCCAAATCACACAACCGGAAGTTGCAGAGCCAGAATTCAAACTCAGCACTTATGTCGCATGTCAGAATCTCTGGTCTTTCTGGAACATTCTTCTTCCTCAGGCCGCACGAGTTATCCCTGCCTCTCTCAGAAATGTTGTTTGGAAGCACTCTGAAATTTCAGAGGTTCTTTAAGACTGTTGGTTAAATCACCCCATACTTCGTTTTCCTTCTCTCCTGAAAATCTTTGCCTTTCAGGATGCCTTGCCCCTGTTAAGAGGACTCTTACTTCACTTTCGAGAGGAGTAAATTAATAATGTTTCTTAAGCTGTATGTGCCCCTAAATGAGTAGACTTACAGAAATGCTGTAAAGACTTTTTTTTGACTTTTCACATACTGCTGTTCCTTCATCTCTTTCTTTTATCCGTTGTCTTCAATTCAACATTTACTTGGCTAAGTTCTGGGGAATCGAAAGTGAATCAGGCAAGAATTTTGATTTTCCGTGAACATATTTGTCTCCCACTCAGCCTTACTGGAAGCTTTAGGAGGGCAAGGATTTGTTTCAGCTACCTGTGCTCTCCCTTTCCCTATACCATCAGTTTAGTTGTTGGCTCATGGCAGGTGCTTGTAGATATTTGTCAAGAAATGCTTACATGAGACTTTAAATTTGCTGTCCATTTTGTCTTCCGTTTCCCTGACCTTTTCCAGCTGTCCACCTCTTCCTGTGCAGAGATCTCTACAGCGCCCATGCTGTGACCCCTGCAGCTGAGTGGCACATGGAGACAGAACCAGCTCCAGGAGGGTGCTCAGGAGTCTGGCGCCCGCCCAGAGCAGGAATCCAGCGGGACGCCATTGGCTGTTAACCAGACAGTCGCTTTAATAAAGCGTCTTTACAGGTATCGAGTGAATGTTTAAGGTTAGTAGATCATCATGGTCACTGAAGCTTTTCTTGGATGACTCTTTCCCCTGCCAGGATTGACAAACAAGCTGTACAGTACAGATGAGAAGGTGTGAGTGAGGCAAGAAGCCAACAGTTGCTTCCTTCCTTTAAATACCACTAGCGAGCTGACCTTTTTTGTACAGCATACTTATCTAAGAATACCCCAGGTCTAGGCTGTGCAACTGTGTAGGTTGAATACTTGTACTAGTTAAATATTAATTCACCTTCAACGCACTGCTATCTAGGATATCCACGCCATTTAGGAGAGGAGATGCAAAGGGAGGGAGCATTTGAGAAAACTCTGTGAATGAATAACATATGAACATGAAGCACTTCGAGCACGAAGGAGCCTCGTTTTCCACTTTTTTCTCCGGTTGCAATCTTGTACTGCTACTTTGTTTAATTTGTTTCAGGCGCCATTGTTATCTTTTCATCTGTTTTTCTGCAGTTTTACTGTCTCTACTACTACTGCTCCGCCTGGCTAATACTATTTGAGCACTTACCGTGTTCCAGGCACAGTTTGGGACCTCACATTACCTTTTTAATTTAGTGCTCACTTCCTGCATATGAAAAATACAGTTATTATTTCCATTTCATAGATGAGACAGCAGGGATGCAGAGAAGCTAAGGGACAACAAAGCTGATAGATGGTGACGTGTGGCTTCTGCGTCAGGACTGCCTGGTGACAGAGGCTGTGTTCTTATTTTTGTTTTTGTTTTTTGGGCCCTCCGTGCGGCCTGCGGGATCTTAGTTCCCTGACCAGGGATTGAACCCGGGCCCTCGGCAGTGAACGTGCAGAGTCCTAACCACCAACCTCCAGGGAATTCCCAGAGCCTGTGTTCTTGACCAGTGCTCTTACACTCTCAGATATGTGTGTACTCCAGAAGTCCCACTGGGCTTCGAGGTGACTTCTAAAAATATATACAATATGGTAAAATAGGAAAGTAACTTCAGGAGGAAAGAGAGTAGTCAGATCATCTGTAATGGTTAATATAGTTGGGCTGCAAATTTAGCTGTGAGCTTCTTTTTTTTTTCATTGAATGAAAGATTCTTTAAATTCTGTAGTGCTTTATAGTTTTCAAAAGTTTCACACACATGAGTTCATATAATCCCATAATAACCCCTTTTTTCCCCTCGCCTCTATATTGCCCCTCCCCCCTTCCCTCTCCCCACTGGTAACCGCTAGTTTGTTCTCTATATTTGTGAGTCTGCTTTAGTTTTGTTTTATTAGCTGTGAGCTTCTTGAACCCAGGAGAAGAAAATTAAAAAGAAAAAAAAAAGAAAGCAATTGAATTCATTTTGTCCAGGCAAATAAGGCATTTTAGTTCCTTTGGAAAAAAAAGAAAGTATTTCTAACGCCTCCATCTAAAGGACATTTCTCCTGGGGTTCATAACCAAGCCCTGGGTGGCCGGGTTTACTACAGGGTGACCAGGCTGTAGGCTCAGTGTGTCCTCACTGTTAAGGGAGAGAATGTGGATGATTGTATTTGCGTAGGAGTTTGGAAATGAAAATTTTTTGAATAGTAGTAGTTTTCAGGAACACCTTCTGAATTGTGTTTTTTCTCCTGGGAATTTGTAAATGGTCTTATCCTGGACCCTGGGTTGGTCCCAGTCATTTGTTTACTTAACGGTTACTTATGGAGCACTTGCTGTATGCCAGGCCCTGTCTAGGCATTGAGGACACTGCGGTGATGGTCAGGTCACTGTCCTGATGTGCCCGGTGCCTCCACCCTGTTGTTTTCTCCCGCTGGAGTGTTTCTGGACAGACTTTGGTTTGCCTTTCTTCCTCGTCCTATGAAACCCGGAGACGACCCTCAACGCCTTATACCGTAATGGTCTCCCTGCCTTTGACCCTGGGCTCTGGCTGATTCGTGTTTCTGTGCCTTCCCAGGACCTAAAGTTAAGGACAGCTGTCCGGGAGTGAGCACAGCCTGCTGTGTGTCAGGCTCTTTAGATGCATCATCTGAGTCCTGGCACAGCCTTCGGAGTGTGGCGCTGAACCGTCGTGGGTCACTCGCCCCTTGAGAACCTGGTGGAAGCCATGTATCCTCTCTCGAGAAGAATCACCTCACACACACTTTGGCATTTAACCTCTGAGAGTTTGAAGATCTAAAAATGCACACATGTGTACCTTGTCCCTAGATTCCAGGTTATGAATAACGTGCTTTAAAGAGAGATATTATCTCCATTTTGCAGTTGAGGAAACTGGGTCAGGAGGAGGTTAATTAACTCGCAGGTTTGCCTGGTAGATAGTGGGACCAGTTTGACTCCGTGTCTTCTTGACTCCAAGCCCTTTATTTTTTCCACTGTCCAAAAGTAGAGATGCTCAGTAAATGAGGGAGTGAGTGTACGAAGGTCTGAAAAGGGAGCTTTAAAGTGTATGTGCCCCAGAATCTGCCAAACATCCATTTGATATCAGAATAGACAAGGAGAAGATTTTTCTCAAGGATTTGGATTTAGCTGCCAACATTTTTTGTGTTGCTTGCAACTTTTTCCAGTTTTGTCAAGTGATAATTTTCCCCCCATGATACCAGTTCCAACAGTTTTTGCTTCTGATGCCATTTCTGTTTGGCTGTGCACATTTCTTACTGTCATGTTGAATTATGTTTTCTCTGGATGCCAAGGCAGATGGATGGCACTTTTGTTATGATTCTGATATAAATAGCATCTGTTAGAAACTGGACATCAATACTTATCTGGCAAGTAAAACAAATATATCAGTGGAATAGCCTTCTAATCATGTTTTTGCCTGTGGTTAGTAAGTGCCTCTGATGGTCTATGACTCGGTGCTTGTTTGGGGGCATTGGTTTTATTATCCTTGCTATTTTCTACCTTACCATACAAGTTTTGATATAATCGTATTTATTAATTCTCTTTATATAGAAAACCTAACCTGAAGATGGTGCAAAGCCAGGGGTGACCTAAAGGGCTCATCACAGTGCCTCGCTCACACTCAGAACATTGCTTGGCTTTCGAGATCAAGGGTAAAATGAACCCACGCTCCTTACCCTTGCACTGTTAGGTGTTGATAACTGGGGTCCATTGAGAACAAAGATTAATAGAGTGCTTCCTGCGTGCCAGGCCCCATGGTAGGTGCTGAGTACAGGAAGATGAGTGCAGCTGATTCTCTCCACTGGAAGAGCTCACTGACTAACTAGCAGGGCACACAGATAAACAGCCGAGAGAAAGGTCTGGAAGCAGAGAATCAAAGTGAAGCTAGATGTGGGACTAGAGGGATGGACTGGGAGGTATTAATACTTTATTCTTGACGTGCCCCGGCCCCTAGCAAGGTCATGGAAATATGGGTGCCTTTGACCTTTTTGTCCTTCTCCTTTTTTAAAAAAAAAAAATTATTTATTTATTTGGCTGTGCTGGGTCTTAGTTGCGGCATGCAGGATCTTTAGTTGCAGTATGCGGGCTCCTTTAGTTGCGGCATGCGGAATCCAGTTCCCTGATCAGGGATCAAACCTGGCCCCCCTGCATTGGGAGCGCGGAGTCTCAACCACTGGACCACCAGGGAAGTCCCTGTCCTTTTCTTTATTAAATAAAACAATTGGCAAAGCAAAACTATAAGACCAAGTTGTCTGTAAAGGTATGATTAGTTTTTTTAAATTTTTATTTATTTAATTTTAATTTTTTTTTTTTTTTTTGCGGTATGCGGGCCTCTCACTGCTGCGGCCTCTCCTGTCGCGGAGCACAGGCTCCGGACGCGCAGGCCCAGCGGCCATGGCCCACGGGCCAGCCACTCCGCAGCACGTGGGATTCTCCCGGACCGGGGCACGAACCCGCGTCCCCTGCATCGGCAGGCGGACCCTCAACCACTGCGCCACCAGGGAAGCCCTAATTTTAATTTTATTATTTTTAATTGAAGTGTAGTTGATTAACAATGTTGTGTTAGTTTCAGGTATACAGCAAAGTGATTCAATTACACATATATATGTATATTCTTTTTTCAGATTCTTTTTTTAAAAATAAATTTATTTATTTATTTATTTTTGGCCACGTTGGGTCTTTGTTGCTGCGTGCGGGCTTTCTCTAGTTGCGGCGAGCAGTGGCTACTCTTTGTTGCAGTGCGCAGACTTCTCATTGCGGTGGCTTCTCTTGTTGCGGAGCACGGGCTCTAGGTGCGCAGACTTCGGTAGTTGTGGCACGCGGGCTCAGTAGTTGTGGCACACAGGCTTAGTTGCTCCTCAGCATGTGGGATCTTCCCGGACCAGGGCTCGAGCCCACGTCTCCTGTGTTGGCAGGTGGATTCTGCTGTGGCCTTTCCCGTTGCGGAGCACAGGCTCTGGACGCACAGGCTCAGCGGCCATGGCTCACGGGTCCAGACGCTCCGTGGCATGTGGGATCCTCCCGGACCAGGGCACAAACCCGTGTCCCCTGCATCAGCAGGCGGACTCTCAACCACTGCACCACCAGGGAAGCCCCGGCAGGTGGATTCTTAACCACTGTGCCACCAGGGAAGTCCCCAGATTCTTTTCTGTTACAGGTTATTACAAGATATTGAATATAGTTCCCTGTGCTATACAGTAGGAACTTGTTGTTTATTTCATATATAGTAGTTTGTATTTGCTAATCCCAAACTCCTAATTTATCCCTCCCCCATTTCCCCTTTGGTAACCATAAGTTTGTTTTTTATGTCTGTTTTGAGTCTGTTTCTGTTTTGTAAATAAGTTTATTTGTGTCATTTTTTAAAGATTCCACATAAAAGTGATATCATATGCTATTTTTCTTCCTCTGTCTGACTTACTTCACTTAGTATGATAATCTCTAGGTCCATCCATGTTGCTGCAAATGGCATAATTTCATTCTTTTTTATGGCTGAGTAGTATTCCACTGTATAAATATATGTACCACATCTTCTTTATCAATTCATCTGTCGATGGGCATTTAGGTTGTTTCCATGTCTTGGCTGTTGTAAATAGTGCAGCAGTAAACATTGGGGTGCATGTATCTCTTTGAATTAGAGCTTTCGCCTTTTCCATATATAAGGCATGATTAGTTTTAAGGAGGATAGGAAGGCCTCATGAAGGAGGGGCTCTACCCTCAGTCTTGAAAGATGAATTGGAGTGTGGTGGCAGAGGAGGAAAAAGCATGAACCCGTACTCAGAGGGGAGGGACTACATGGTATATTCATTCAGATTCTGTGTAAAAATGCAGCAGGCACGGAGCTGTGTGTCTGGAAGAGCCTCCTGGGGCCAGGTTAGTAATGATGTGAATGATCTTACATCCCACAGTTAGAAGCTTGATTTCAGTCTGTACACCCTGGAGAAGTAGTGCAAGTACATGTTTTTGGTTGGCTTTTTTTTTTTTTTAATTAAAAGCAATGTAGATTCACAAAAAAGTTGCAGAATCAGTACAGGGAGTTCCCGTGTGCCCCCAGCTTCCCCCCGTGGTAGCATCTTACGGAATAACTGTAGCACACTTAGCAAACCAGGACGCTGTCTTTGCTACAGTGCTAGTAACAAATAGAGACTTTATTAAGATTTCACCGGTTTTGACAGGCACTCATTTCATTTCTTGGTGCACAGTCCTGTGAAATTTTAACACGTGTGTAGTTTTGCCTTGCACGTTTTTTAAGCCAGGGAGTAATGTAACTGTATCTGTGCTTTAGAAAGATAAATCCTGGCAACAGAGGAGGATGGAGCAGAAAGGAGTTGGAGACCTGGGTGCATCTAAGGGGCTCTTTCTGGAATCCAGATGGGTGAGGACGAGCGTGGGCAGTGGCGTGAGGGATGGAGAGGGCAGGGGGTCGAGGTAAGACGTGTTGTGCAAGTAACATTGACAGCGCTTGCTGACCACTTAGAAGGCGCGCTGGCGGCCAGAGTCGTGGAGAAAGAAGCAGGCCTGTGACACGGTTAGGACTCTGGTCCTAGCTTTCTAAGGGCCGCAGGAGGCAATTGGAGTTTTTAATGCAAGGAAGTAGCGCGAGGAGATCAGCATTTTAAAATGACTGTTCTGGCTGATGTGAGGAAGATGGAGGGAACCACAGTGGTGTGTGTGTAAGATTGTGGTGTGGTGTGTGTGTGTGTGTGTGTGTGTATGTGTGTATGCATGTGTTTGTGGTGTGTGTGTGGTGTGTGTGGTATGTGTGTGTGGTGTGTGTGTGCGGTGTGTGTGTGTGGTGTGTGTGTGTGTGGTGTGTGTGTGTGCGGTGTGTGTGTGTGGTGTGTGTGGTGTGTGTGTGTGTGGTGTGTGTGTGGTTTGTGTGTGTGGTGTGTGTGTGCGGTGTGTGGTGTGTGTGCGGTGTGTGTGTGGTGTCTGTGTGTGGTGTCTGTGTGTGGTGTGTGTGTGCAGTGTGTGTGTGCAGTGTGTGTGTGTGTGTGTGTGTGGTGTGTGTGTGTTTGAGTTATGGGAAGAGAAGTGGTGCTCATTGTGTTGACATAAAATACTTCTACCTGAGAAACCTAAGATTTGGTGTGAAATTCACATGAAGGACCCGCCCAAGGTTTTGGACACAATTTTCCAGTAACTCGCAAGATCGGATTATTTTGCAGACCCGAGGGCTCTGTTCCTATGGCTTGATAAGCTAAATAAGAAAATCCATCTAACCCCACTGCTCTCTTACTTTTCAGAATTCACAAATTCAGAAATAGTTTATCTTGAAGGCAGTGAAACAAAACAGCTCCAAAACAGATAGTGCCACCGCCGCCAGCACCACGTGGAGCAGAGCCAAGGCCAGGCAAGCGCTCCTCTCTCCCCAGCGCCTGTGTCAGCAGCCGGGTCAGAGGAACCTGGCGAGTTCACTGTGTGGTGCTGGGCTCAGGCCTCGAGACAAAGGTGCTCAGAAAGTGGTGGTGATACCACGATCACTTCCATCCGGTTTGTTTCAGTTGTTCACGCAGCAGGCGTGTGCTCAGTGCTGATTCTTGTGCCACAGTTGTCCTCTAGGAACTTACATATCGTATCAACAAGCATCGGCTTATAAATTTTAAAGTCGAATGGCCTTCGTTTGGTGCTGCACGTGACCACAGGTGTTAGCTGGCCACGGTGAACTCGGAAGATGCTTCCGCCAGGCCCGCAGGGCTCTCTGGACAGTGCAGGTCCACGTGTCTGGCTGTAGGTGGCGGCAGCCCCACGACTTTCCGTTACGGAACTCGAGCTGGGAAACCATCTCATCTTCCCTTTGCCAGCATCCAAGGACTTGCTGGGGCCCGGCTGCACTATAAATAGAACACATTCGACACTCCTGGTCTGCTCACAGGAGCCGGGAGGATGCGGTCGTTTCCGTGGATTACATTTTAAAAGGCTGCCGGTGAAACCATGTGTGAGCTGGGAACAGCTGCTTGACAGCTGACGTGTGGTCAGTTTCTCTGACGCACCTTGTTTTTCTGTTGCCTGTTGCTGTATCCGTCATCACATTAGGTGTGGTGGTGAGTCTGAAAATATTCATTAGGCAGGAGTGAATTTCTGAGGCAGTTTCTGAAACTAGACTTCTGTGTCCATGATAGAGAAGGCGTGTTACAGGCGAAACAGGATAAGCCTTTTCTTCAGGATCTGTGTTCCGGAGCATCAGGGAGTTCATGCTGATATGAATGATCCCCAAACCACAACACTCAATTCAGTTAAACTCAGTAAGCATTATTTTTTGGACCACCGTCATCAGATGTGCTCCTTGCTCTCGCGGCACTGATGGTCTAACAGGGAACACAGACATCAAACAATCATGAGGGTCATGGGTGTTAATTAAGAAAACCTTTGACCCTGGTCACTAGTTCTCGGCACAGGGTATGAGAGTGAGAAATCACAGATGATGCCGAGGCTTCTACCTTGGATGGTGGGAAAGAGCGTGACGATCCTAAACAAGACCAAGGAGTGGCAGGGTGTGTGTGTGTGTGCGCGCGCGCACGTTTTTGGAGGAGAGTGCTGTTTGAAAGATGGGGCTGTGATTAATTTGGTAAATGCTTTTGGAGCTCCAGTGATACTGGGTGCTCTGGGGCAGGGGGTACAGTAGTGCAAAAACACTTTTATTTCATGGAGCCTATAATCTAGTGTATAGTTCCCCAAATGAAAGTATAATTACTCATTGAGGTGAGTGCAGTGCAGGGGAAGGACAGGCTGTGATGAGAGACTCTACCAGGAGGATGTAGGCAAGGCAAGCAGGGCGCTGTCTCTAAGGAGGCCATGGCCACATGTGGATCAGGCGGTGAGAGGAGTCAGCTGGGGGAGGAGTTGGGGGAGGAGAGGATCTGGGCAGAGGGGCCCATGGGGCCGTGGGAAGCAGGTGGGGAGAGTGGCGAAGGCAGGAGCCGGGTCACATGCTGCCGGGTAGGCCCCGGCAGGCATGTTATATCTAACATGCTGTGATACGTTTATTAGAGAACATTTAAAGTAAAGCTCAGTGTCTGCACCAGCCCAGCATAGCTGTTTTTGTCTGCAAGATGAGGCCCTGTAGACCCTGGCCTCCTGTGGA